TTGGAAGAAAGCTCTTTTAGGCGCCTGGGAGTTAATCTAGTCCTAGGATGCATAATTTCTGCTTTAAACATCTATCTGCCAGTGAAGCAATACTTGAATATGAAGTTTAAATGGTCACTTCAATGGCTAGGAAAAAGCAGAGTCAGTTGGGGTCAGATTCCCTCAATTTAATTCAATATGCAGTATCAGTTGGTATCGTAAATATCTGAATCAATCAATCACAGAAAATTATAATAAATCAGCTGGCTAACTTTGTATGAAATGTATCCAAATTACCCCAATAATATAAAGATTTTTGAATAATATAAGCAATATACAAAAATAATAATATAAGGAATATATGATTTTTAAGTTTATGATTTATTTGTGTATCATACATAATTGATTTACTTATTCTCTTTATACATAATGTAAAGATCTATAATATAGAACTGAAGAGTTTCAATTTTGTAATCAAGCAAAGAGGGGTTTTACTTGATTTATGCCACAAAAATCTCTAAATCCATTAAAGACTTCCACATCTATTAATAGGATGCATCCTATGATGGTTATTCTTAGAGTTTTATATAAAACATGAAACAAATAATGGAGATATAAATATATCAATTTTGGTAAAAACAATCAAAATCCACATTTTCCACGAACTGAAAGAACAGACACTGTACCTGCAATGTTGATGCACACCCGAGCCAAACAATGTCTGGCTTCCTCATATGGAGCCTCCATTATGCCATAATAAAGAACAGTGAAGAAAACGATGCTATTTTAAATACTGAGCTCAGTTCCTCCTTTTGGAATTGATCATGGTCACCACAAATGTTACACATCTTGCTTCGAAAAAGCATACAAGCATTTTCAAGGCTTCATGTGCGTGTGTTATGAATATCAGCTAATATTCTCAGCAAGGGAGAGCAATTGGCAAATTTGTGACTTATCCTTCTGCTTATGTGTTTATACAAAGAGCTAAATGCTAGTTTATCAGCCTTTATACTTTGATCACAGGTGTTAGCATATGAAAGCGGTGAATAATCTTGACTCCCTGATGTGAAATGCAACTTGTGAAATTCAAACCTACTTGTGTGATTCAAGACCTGCTTCATAGGTTAATGATCAGTAATGGACTATATATTCACAGCCTATTAGTTAGACAAAGAATGTGTCTGTGGTTGGAAGTACAAACAGAGAATTTATGAATTTGCCTGCTGTTTTCCGGTTGCATCATTTAGCTGGTCTTGTGGACTCAGTTATGGCATATGTTGAATGGTTAACTTTCTAGGATCAGACAAATCTCTAGCTCCATAAAACTTAATGCTTAGAAAGCCAATACCATAGTTAATTTCTTGTATTGAATTGATTCTTTGAATTTTTTTTTCTTGTATAATTTGTTTAATGATATTTTGCAAACCTAACTAGAATCAGCAGTTAGAGAATTCTGAAATGTAAATACTGGAGCTATTTCCTTTTTTGATCATCGATGTTCTGTCCCCTACTAAAAAAGAGTTTACTGCATTGAAAAATAACTACCTTAAGAGGGCTTCATAAAAAGCAATATTTTCTGGCAATTAGGAATAATAAAGAGTAAGGTTCTGTGGTGTAAGAGTAACTCTGGTTACATGGAATCATGATATAATTCTCTTTAAATGAATACTTTTATGCCTAGCTTTTTAGTTTCCTTTGTATGTTTGCTACATTCTGCCTGAATAAGTATTGTTAGGAAAGGAAAATAGGAACTTCAGGCCATACTAACTTTTATTTTTAGTTTTTGCAACTCATGCTTATAATACCAAATGTAAAACTCTGGATTCTTGCTTTTCAAAGTGACCAGCAGGATCTGTATTTCCTAACGGCTTGTTAAAACATGAAATCTCGTTTGACCCCAGACATACTGAATCAGCTGTATTTGAACATAATCCCAACTTGTTAAATGGCAGGCACCAAATGGATATATGTCAATTGGACTGAATTTCTACTCGCAAAGAGAAGTTTTCAATACAAACCTTAAATAAATAGAGAAAAAGATAACCACAAAAAAAGAGGAGAAAGAGGCAAGAGAGAATGTGGCTGTCATTACCATTGTTAGATTCTTCCCCAAGAAAACCCACCACAAGTTACCAGATTTTAGAAGATAATGATACCATTGCCACTGACGTGTAATTTTGTCCACAGCTAGGGTCCTCCTCGGCTTTGTGTTGTCCTGTCCTCCATCCTCTTTTAGTTTCCTCAGTTAGCTGGTTTGGTTATACAACTTCTGAACAATTTTTCCCATTTCTTTTTATAACGCTCTTTGTCCTAGATGACATCAACTTATTTTACAGGTTTTATTTCTATCATTTTTGATCATTTTATCTTCTTTCTCAATTTAAATTTCCATCTATATCTGTATGATTATATTTCTATATCCATACTGAAGTTTTATTTTGTCACTTTATTTTACTCTTTATATGACTGGCTCAATATTTTATCTTTAATAAGATCCCCACTGGTAACTTTATCTACTTCTTACAATATTGTCTTGTCATTCTTCTTTATTATTACCAAGTCTGAAAACCATTTTGGAATAGGAATAGTGGTGGGGATTGCTCATACCCTGAGGCATATTGAATGCATTTTTCTTTACAGATATACCTGCACAGAATCACCCAATCTCTTCCTGTTGATTTTTATACTCCCCTCAAAAATTAATCCTGATTTTAAATTCCTTATAGTAAGTAATCTAGTAGATGTAGACCCACACCCATAATAACCACACCCATAATGCCACTTCCACTACAATACCTTGTGTCATTGGAACAGTATTTTTTTCACTCAGAACATTCCCAATCCTTTTATGAAATAAATAAATATAGTCCTAATCATATAATCTCATGATTTCTTCTCCAAGTAAATCCTGGAGAGTAGCCAACACACAGACAAACTGTGTCACACCAGGGGAATCAAGCACCAGGTCATTTGGAGGAAGCTGGGATTTGGGAAAATTCTCTATAGGCAACTTGGTCTAAATTCAAGACTTCTACCAAAATGCAATGAACTGCTGTAGGATAGGGCCTATGTCTTGGTCATTATTGTCTGTATAGTTCTTGGCTTGACATACAATAAGAACTAAACAAATGTTGAATACATTCCTGAGCAAAAGAGAAGTTGTGCAGTTAGTATGTCAGAACTAAGCTTGTCCTTCTTAGAAGTGGGATTGAGTCAAAGCCATACAGTTTAAGCTGCAAAAAGCAATTGGATTGACCTCTGACTTTGTAGACTCCCTGGAATATAACTTTCAGTGACTTCAGCCCTCATCTGAAATGAGTGGCTAGAGTTGAAAATGCAAAAGACTTAACTTTTCCACAAAATACTGTTTTATGCTATTAATCTGCAAGAGGTCAGCCCCTCATATTTCAGAAGTGTATTATGAAATTTCTCCACATAATGGTCAAATTAAATTACATGTATTCTTATTATGGTTATGCTTTCAAATGGAGCAGAATAATATCTTATGGGAAAGATAAAGGGACTAGCAATAAAATAAAAATTTTTTAAAAATGGATTTTGCCACATTCCAGCATTAGTGCTTAAGACATGAATTTGTGTCAGAGATCTTAGTTTTCTATCTGTAAAATAATAGATTAAGTTAGATCAGTGGTGTTTAAAACTGATTTATTGAGGCCTGTTAGTAGATTATAAAGTCAACTGGGTGTGTATAATCAGCATGTAAGCATTTTTTTAAATGAAATAGGATAGAGAAAAGATTTTTAGAGGGTATCATATATATAAGGATAAGTAAAGTACTATCAAAATTAGTTTCAAATTCATGTATATGTTTGTCAGTATGTGTATTGGATCATAATTAAACATGCCTTTACTACACATTGCAGTTTTTCTAAAAAAGGTACTTGTCAGCTGTCTTCTGAATTTGGCAGTTCTGATTTGAATATTCTAGCCCTTTAACCAACCAAATTCATTCTTGCCTCATTTGTTTTATGAAAAACATAAGAATATCTTGTTTAGAAATCATCTTCTCTATATTTTAACTGATTTTGTGGATAGAAAATAAAATTTGATTTTAATAATATTGCTTGATCAGCTTCCTATTTATTAAATACCACCTAATGTTATACAAGCCTCTCTGCTCATACATCAATTTGCTTTATCATTAAATATTTAAATTAACACTACAGACACAAAGATCTAACATACAAAATAGAAAAAAAAAGGGTAACATAAAACTTTGAGACAATTCCTGCTCTATATAAACTTGATACATTTCATAAAAAGTGACCAGTTTTCACACTCAAGCAGTTTTTTTTAATGGTGTGAACATCTACTACTTATGGTCAGATAATTTAATTCACCTATTTATCCATATTAGTAAAGTGGATGGTGAGAATATTATGTTGAGGTTTTCAGGAAAAGAAATTGTTTTGACCTCCTCCTTGGGACAAAAAGCATGAAGATAATTTTCTGTCATTTTCTATTTTCTTTGCCTAAGAAGTTTTACTACAAACTCATGAACCTTATCTTTACATTGATATATTAATATATTTTTTATAATTAGTATATTATTCTAAAAAATAGTAACTGTGAAAATATATTTTATTCAGATGGCTCAAAACTAAATTATTTTGTTATGGGCAAGATCTATGGAAATTGAACACCAAACAATGTAAGACACTGATAGCCTTAGATCATTAGCTATCAATGATCACTTTGAGTCTTTAGATTGCTTTTTCAGAATTTTCTGATATTCCATTTCTGGAATACTGATTTTCTGTTTGTTCAGTTTACTGAATCTGTAGGCTGTTGACTGATTCCCCTGTGTAAACTGTAATGTTGTTATTGTGAAGTTTTGTGTATCTCTCTTTTAATGTGAGTGGATGTTGCCTGGGAACTCACAGTGCCCTCACAGAGCACTTTCTTTGTTTGATTTGACTCTGAAGGAGTCAATGACCCTGAATTCACTAATATTTTACTTTTTAACTTTCTCCTTCCTTCCACATCAGGTTCAACTTGATTCCTCACAGGTGACTTTTGAGGCCTGAAGTCAAGCTTTTGTACTGATTCTCGAGAAAGAGCAAGATTTTTAGCCCCTACTCACAAGTTTTCTGTTGAGCATTCCCTTCAGTTCTCTGGCTTTCAAGCTTCAGCTATTGGTAACTAAAGTCTTTCCTTATCCGTAACCCCTTGGGGCTATAGGCATTACCAGCCCTCATTTTCTAAACTAGTTTTGATTTTGTTCTTTCTTTTTAGCACTTGAAATTTCACATTACTTTAAGGAAGTTAAAAAGTTATCTCTTTTAAAAATTACTATATTTTATCCAGAATTTCTATGCTTGTATCAGTTGGGCTGCCTCACTCTATCAGTTCAAGTTACCTTGGGACAAAAGTCAAGATGAAGCATTTTTCAGATGGAAGGTTCATCATTCCTATCCACTTACTGGAAATATAGGTGATCTACTTCTACTTCAAGTATAAATGTAAGTATAGATAATCCTGTTCAAGAAGGATTAGGCCAATTGGTTACCCATCCCCCAACAGTAATCCTATAAAAAAATAAAAGAATGTATTGTTTATATTATCAATCATAGTTGATAATATATATGATATAATTGAAACTTAAGAGAGTAGAATTAAAAATCCTTACAAAAAATGGTAAATTAAAAAAATATATATTGTTTAAAAGGCATAATCCTACAATGGAAAGGACACACCAAGTCCCAAACAGGACAAATAACCAAAAATTACTTTTAGAAATATGATAGCAAAATTTTAGAAACCTGCAGTAAAAGAGAAAAATTATTAAACTTCCTAATGAGAAGTAACAGACAATTTACGTAAATCATATTGACTGCAACTTTCCTAATGGGTGCAATGAATGTAAGAAGAGAAAGTGCTGATGAAAAAAATTAAATGAATATTTTATGCATTTGTAGATATAAAGATAACTAAACTACCATTAATAGGGAGGAGAAAGTATGGATCTTTTTCAGAACTGCAAAGACAATGGACATTTAATCATTACTAAAGGATGCATTTTTTAAGAAAGAAAAATATAGAAAATTGGGTACAAGAAAATGGGATCCCAGTAGAAAATGGGATACAAGAAACAATCAGGAGGGGAAAAATGATCTATTATTACATGTAAAGGTTATCATAAAAAATAAATGTTTAGTTTGAAGTTTGAAGCTAAATCTTAAATGATTTTTTAAAAAAACATATTGAGCTTATGTATTTCACCCAAAGAAAATTATGTCAGTCAAAATTAGGTCCCACACATATAGCAATAGGTAATTTAAAAAGACAGAGCTTTATCTTTTTCTCGTATCAAAAAAAATAGTCTTGAGATAGGTGACCCAGTACTAATATGGTGACTCCAGCATTAGTTATGTAACATTTATATTAAACATTTGTTTAATATTTAAACATATTTCTCTCTCAACATGGAGAACTAATCAGCAACTATAACATTTCTTTCCAAATAAAAATACTTTTTGCAAGCTGTCATTTTCTCCTTTTCCTTCCAATATCCCATATTTTGTTGAAATCTTCTAGAGTATAACTTCTTGTTTTTATTATATTTTCAATATGCTTCTATTTAGATAGATGTAAATTTTTTTATTGTTCTAAGGTTTACAGTCACACTTGAAATTCTTCCATATATTTAACTCTAAGTTTTGCTGACTTCTTTGCTCAACTCGGTTTTCATACTTTATGAGTTCAGTAGTTCTTGACCAACATTTAAAACTTTTGTTGAAGTAGATTTTTCTGCAAGACATTCTAGCCACCTGCAAGTTGAAGAAGGTCATTAACTTGCCCTCAAAAGTGAATTTTTGAAATACATAAAATTATACATTCACAATTTCCTTTTGAAATTTAAAATTATTTGTCTATTTTTTTTCAAATGTCCTGACAACAAATCCTGATGCCAGTCTAATTCTAACCTCTTTGACAATAATCACCTTTTGTTTGCTTTCTTCATGGGAAACACTTAAGAAGCATTCTAGTTTTGGAATTCCTAAATTTCTACACTAGGTGTGTAGGTTCCCTTCACCAACACCTCCAACACCGAAGCCTGAGGTTTTATTTTATACAGCTCAGAAAAATTATTTATTTTTGTATTTCCTCTTCTCCATTTCTTTTAGTCATTTTTCCTACAACTGCTGTTAGACAGATTGTCAACTTCTAATAATATTACATATTCTCAATTCTGTATCTTGTCACAGCATATTATGATATAATCTATTGACTCCAAATGAAAGATTCAGTCGTTGGCTGTTTACCCTAATATTGAGCCTGATCAAGTTTTTTGTTTATTAGCTATTTGCTTTTAAAATTTCACCTACCATGTTTTTAATTCTCAATGCTCTCTAAATGTTTCATTTTTATGTAACAGCAACTTACTATTTTGTGGATATGACAATTTCTCAATAATCTCAGCAGATTTGAATCACATGTTAATCTTTTATTTCTTTGATATATACACTCTTTTTCTGTACAATAGTTTTTCTCTTTTTTTGTGATTGGTTCTCTCTCCCTTTCATGATGCTGATTTCTTTTAATACTTGGTGATTCTTTGTTGTGGGGCCCTGTCTAACAGTAAAGGTCTATATTAATCGATATTGTAGTTTGAGCATATTTCCCCAAGCTCATATGAAATTCTCTAGTTTCATCAGTGAGGGCTACATCTGTTACAGGCAACCTGATTCCCATTCTTGTGGTTGCAAAATTGGGGTGCAAGAACATAATATATGGCCAATGGAATAGTCTTCAGATAGGCTGGTCTGGGCAGTGAAGGGTCTCTCATCTTTTGTGATGGCTGCTATTTAACTCTGGATCTAACATTTCTGTGCCCCCATACAGCCTCAGAAAGTGATCTGTGTCACAATTTTCTGTTCACTTGAGAAAATGTGTTGAATGTTTTAACATTGAGATGCATGGAATATTAATCCATTTTAGATGCATAGCCCTTTAATTCCTTAACCTAATGATTCTATGGCCCCTGATTCCTCTCCCATCCCCTGCTACTTTTAATCCTGAAGATAACCTGTTTTTGTCTCAAGAAGTCTCATTCATTTATTTTATTTTATTTTAATTCCGACTTTCATTTCTATCATGTTGGAGTCTTTCAGTTCCATAAGATTTGGATTAAATCTAATTAACTGTCAAAGTTTCAGAAATTCCCCACAGGGTTCTCAGCTGATGGCATCCTTCATGGCTTCTCACATTATGAATTTGCTGTTTTATTTTGTTATTCTAATTGCTCTGAAATAGGATTTTAAGATAAAGAAACGGTGAAAGGATTCACAGTTAGCAGTACAAATCAGAACCCATACCACTTGATCATTGCTTCCCTTATGCATTCATTAAGAAAACCAATAAGGGGATGGTAGAAGCATATGGAAAAATAAGAATTTGGGAGTGAGGTGTGGGCCCTAATGTTTTTCTGCAACTTGCTGTGTGACTATGAGCAGGTCATTTAAACTCTACCAAGCTCAGTTTCTCTTCATCTAAAATGAGGTTATTATTATCCATTTTAGAGGTGGGATTTGTGAAAGAAGTATGTAAGACAAATGTGTAAACTAACCAATGTAGTCTCTGATAAAACAAAATATAAGATACTGGTTTTAAACACCATGAAATATGCCTTTTTATATTTGCAGTTTGATAGATGAAAAATACTGACATATTTTAGTATTCATTTCTTTAGCAAATAATTGGCTGTTTTTAAATTTATTTTGCAAGCTGGCAAACATTTCCTTAGCATTACTTCCTAAGGCTATTATCTATTAATATGTGAAAAAACATCTACTTTTCACTCCCATCAAATTGATTTTGGCATTTGGTCACAATTTTTAAAATTACGTGTATCTAACTCATTCAGATATTTAATTTATGGTTTCTTTCCTTTTATGCTCAGAATGTCCTTAATTACCTTGATATTAAATAAATAAAAAACATTTCTTTTACATATTTCATAGTATTTTATAATATTTCTACACTTAAGAAAATAATTGGTAAACCCAGAAAATACATTATATGGTGTGAAAAATATCACTTTATTTTACCTATTAATTTATTTTCTCAACCACTGATTAAAAATGTAGTCCAGACATACTCACTTATTTGAAATGTCATCTTTAATATCTACTAATCAAGCATTTAGGGGAGACATCCTTTCCTATTTTAATTATCTGTATGCTTATCTTTGCATCAGTGATCTATTCCTTAAATTATTATAGTTATATAAAATAATTAATATCCATATGTAAAATATTATTTTTCAGCATTTTGGTTTCTGTTATTTTCATCTCTGCATTATGTATCTTAATTCTATCATTACCTCTAAATTGTTTACAGTTAGTCCTCAAGTTTTCTGAGCAATTATATTACCTATATATTAATAGTGTATTTTTTCACTACAGTATACAAAAAACTCTCATTTTATTATTCCCTCCATAGTGGTCATGATATAGGTTTTAATGTTTTCTAGATCCTGGCTTCAGTGGGAAGATCTCTATTGATTCATTATCAAGCAGTAAGTTGCATCCTTTTAAGACTGTCTTCATTTTTTTAAGATCGATCTTTCTATCCCTGGTTAAACACAATTTATTTTGTTCATCTTTGTTTTGTATTTTAATTAGGAAGTTTGTTCAGCTTCTATGAAAGTCATCAATTTCTCATATGAAGTGTAGATACATTAATCATATTATTACCTTTCTTAATAAAAATCATTTTTCAACAAGTTTAACTTTGGTCATGTTTCACAATAATTTATTGCTGATTTCATTTTTTTTGCTTTAAAATATGTATATAAAATGAAAAAGATGAAAATAGTAATTTTTTATTGACAAATAGTTCAATTTTACATACATTTAATTTCACAATTTTACTATTTGTGGAAAATGTTTATAACAATCTGGAATAATATGAATGTCACAGAAATTATGGTTTTTTTTGAATGTTTTAGAGTTCTAACTGCTAAAATGATTGAATTTTATAACTACCATTAAATAATAATTTATTAGTAATTATTTTCCCAAATATTTTAAAGAGCTTCTGTAGGCCAGAGGTTATTTTTGCTTGGATATACATTAACTTTTTGAAATTAGATTCTTAGCTTCTTATTTTATATATCTTGCATATATGTGTATGTCTATATCTATGTCTGTACCTGTATCTATATGATCTATCTATACATAATTGTTTTTTTCCCCAAAATGACAAACTTATAGAATAATGATGCATGTATTCATATCTCCTTATGAGTCTTGCTAGGGAATATGTTTTACCTAATTTTAAAAGCACTAATCAGCATTTAATTTCCCTGTCAGACAAGAACATGACTCTTAATAACCATATTTCATTTTTTTCTTTTATTGACTATCTTAATTCATCTACCTACTGTTAAATTATTTATTCCCTCATTTCTATTTTTCAAGGAATTTAATTAAAATGTCTCAGTATATAAAGTAAGTTTTTCTTAGTAATCATGTGGATAACTTTTGAGTTAATGACACTTCCCTAATCTAGACTATTTTGGAATATTTAGCATAGTTTTTCTCAACAGCAAAGAACTAAAATTAATGAAACTCTTGAATTTTCAGCCAATAGCCAGTGGTCAATCTTAGTACATATTACATGACTCATGATTTTGCTACCTCACTGTGAATCATAATTTTTTCACTGGATTTTATTGTTATGGTTTGATATGCTAATGTAATATTTATAATTATTGAGGTAAAGACAAAATAATTTGAATAGCTTAAAATAAGCCTTTTTCAATATTTATATCAAGTTGTTAAATTAAGGGTCATATTAATTTTAAAAGACTATATGGGGCTACATAGATAACTTTTTATTTACTACCATACAGGCTTTTGGAAAACTTAGCTTCTCAATTATAGTTTAAGTTCTGTGCTTTTGGAAGTTTTCATTCTTTTTCTTCAACTTATTAGTTTTCCAAACTCGACTTTTGCCTTTTGCAACAACTGCTCTGCCCCATTTAAAAATAAATGACCCACTCTAAGAAATAATTTTTGCTAGTTTCACATGAAAAATCAATACAGTGTATAACTGTTTCCTGGCTTAGTAGCTAATCCAAGAAATGTAAAGGCCACAGACTACAAGTGATGGATACCTCAGACATTCTTAAGTGCAGCTCTTCAAACACAGATATTTCATCATGTAAATTATTTGATCTCCCATAAGAAGTTCATACTTAAACTTGTATCTCTTTTAATGATTGCTTTATGCAGCACTATGCAAAACTTGGGAGGCTTTTTAAAATACTGAATTTAGACTGAAATAATTATCAGCACCATGCACAAATGGGTCAAGCTTGGAAGAAAAAAAAAATTGCACTGCCAGCTCTGAGTAAGACTCAGGAGGCAAGGCATAGAGCACATGCTGTGGATCAGCCTTGTCTGATTATTTTCAATGAAGTTCCTCAGCTATTGTGACCAACATCTCCATTTAGGATGCATGTTTTGCTCGGTTCATTGTTTTAAATATGCTGAGTTTTTTTAAGATAAGTCCTAGACAAATATTAAAATACCTGTGAGTCTGTCCTACCTCTGGTAGCTCCCTTGAATCCCCTCTTTACAGAGGGCAAATGTATTAGTCTTTTTTATGTTCTTGAATAACCAGAAATACTGTGATACCCCAGTGATTAAAATGACTTATTTGTATAAAGTAAATTTAGAATGCCACTTGTAAAACCATGCTGGACTAATAATTAGACATATCTCCTTATATCTTAGAACTGTTCTCCAAGAAATCATTGCCAGTTGCTGGTGGGCAGTACAGATTCAAGGTGAAGGTTACCACAGAGTATCACCCCTAACTAACAAGGTGATTTCTGTTTCTCTCTTTTTTCTCTTCCCTTCCCTTTTTTTTTCTGACAATCCAGTCTAGGACTCTGGAAACTAAGCTAAAAGTTAAACCCTAGAGAGTAAGAGAAATAAAAAGCAGCAAAAATACATATGCTACTATATCTATTTTAAAAACTGAATTCATTATAAAAACTTTTAATAAAGAATATGCCAAGGCCATATGACTTTACTGGTGAATTCTATCAAACTTCAAAGAAATAATACCAATCTCACAAAAACTCTTCAAAAAGTATCAAAGAAGGAAGTCTTTTTCAAGCTGTTTTATGAAGCCGAAACAACCATGATATCAAAGTCTGGCAAAGATATTACAAGATAGAAAAATTAGAGACCAGCGTCCCTCATGTACATGGATACAAAAAATGAAAACATATTATCAAATAGAACCCAGAAGCATATCAAATATAAGAATCATTATCAAGTTGATTTATCCTAGGAAAAGGTAAATTTGGCTTAACATTAAAAAAATAGTACAACAGATGCATAAAAATGATGTAATAAAGTTCAGAAAATTGCATGATTGTTTTCAAATAAATAAGGGAATTTCCTTTTTCAGAAAACAGAATCAACATATTGCTTAATGGTAAAATACTGAAACTTCATCCCTTATATAAACAAACCAAGGAGATCCAATCTCATTATTTCTAATCTGCCTCCTACTGGAGGTTCTAGCTAGTGCAATAAGCAAGAAAATGAAATAAAAGCTAAGTACAGAGAAGAGGAAGAAGTAAAATTATCATCATTCACATATAACATTGTTTATATAGAAAATCCTAAGAAACCTAAAAAATCTTTTAGCAGTGAATTTAGTAATGTAGTAGGATGCCTATCTGTGCCTCTGTGTCAAAGTGGGTTCAGTGCACCATTGGTGCCAAACCATTGATACTTCCAATATCACTTGCCACGTTCTCTCTCATACACGTAGATACAAACACATACATGTAGATAAATTATTTTCACTTTTAGGTCTAGTTCTCAAAAAATACACTGCTTTGCAATAATGATCTATGTAAATTATTATTTAACGTAAGTCTTGTTTGTTAATTTTAAAGATTGCTTATAAATGAATTTTTTTTTTTTGTACAGTGAAGAGATGCAATGACTACACAGTAGTTAAAAATCTGTATTGGGAATGTCAACCTCATCATGAAATAGTATAGATCGTTGAGAATGACTGACTTTTCCAGATGCATATATTGCTTGAGATTGGAAAGACAGTGATAAAGAAAGTTATTTAACTCTTGTCAGAGTGATGAATTTGGACAATAAAAGTAAAAAAATATAAAAATTGACATGGGAAATATTTGGAAAGTTTCCACAATATAGTTATAGATGCTTTCCTAGTGAACTTCAAGCAACTCCAATTTTACATTCATGTCCATAGAAAAAGCCATATTTCCATGCCAGGCAATTTTTTCATATTAAAAATAGTTTTCTTATGTCATATAAAACCAATTACTTTCCAGGCTTTACTTGTCCAGAACCCCTTGCCATTTAGTCCCATTTGCACTAAAATGCTGACATATTAAATGGCTCATAATTCAAAAAGCACACACCTAAAGTGATGGATCCCTGATTTACTGTAAGATTTATAAAGCTGACTCAGTGTTACTTTGCCAATACAATACTTATGTTTTAGAATTATTTGTTTCATCATGTTTATCAGACACAGGACATAATGTCCTATAGTGAGCTCCCAGAAAAGGTTTGCTAGACTCTTAATTTTAAGTTGCTTTCATTTAGGTACAGATTCACAAACACCAAATACAGGTTATAGTTTTGTTTTTGAAACACAAAAAACAATTGTCATTACAGAAATTTATCAGTAAACCATTGAACATTGAAGGAAAAAAATGCCTTACTTAATCAAGTATTTGCAAAGATAAGGAAGATGGACAAGGGTTTTTAACAACTCTGCCTACATGTATACATACATACAAAATTCATACATACATTCTTTATACAATAGTTGTTCCCCTACCTCACAAGGGCTATGTATATTCCTTCCATTTAAATTGTGTACATTGTTTAAAGAAAGTTTAAAGAAAATTTCAAGTCTATTTCTCCTTAACTGAAACTAAGTCTATCCCAGGCAGATACTTGGGCAGATACTTGACAAAAATAGTGTGAGTGGGTTTTCACTAGGTCTCTTACTCTGAGATGTTGGAATCTACCAGTCAGATCAGAAACCATGGAACTGTGCAATATACTTCTGTATTATCACTTCAGGAACCCAACGGTCTTGGCGGGGTGAGGGACAAGGAGCTGGGAGAACAAGCTCTCCTGGAAGAGAAATTATCTCTTTATGATTTCTGGCCTGTGCTGAAGCTGCTCAGGCAGTGAGCAGCTTTCCAAATTTAGTTTTCAGTGTGGCCTCTGATCTGTGCCGGGCCCCACTATGTCTCAGACTGATCTTTTCTACATTCTCCCTAATGTAATAGTGTCTTTAACCGGAGAATGTCTGCTTCATTAAGAGAGGACTATGATCCACTGGGAAAATTTTAAAATGGCCACTCAGAGTGGAAAAGTTTTATTTAAAAGCAAGTTCTGCAAACAGCAAGTTTGGCTTGATGGATGTATCCTTGGCTTTCAATCCCAGGTGCAGATACCACCACGGGATGCTGACTGCCACTGAAAAGGGATGTCTGCATGGAAAAACTCTCGTCTTAGCTCAATCAGAACTCCAATCCTCGATCCTCCAAATGACAGAATAATTGGTAAGTTCTGCCAATGCTTTACTTGTAATCTGTAAGTTTCATTATTCTCCCAGCGCTTTATTCACTTAGGGAATGATTTAGGAATTCAACAGTTATTAATTGAATGATTACTGTTCTAGGTAATGTTCTAGGCAGTGGAGATACAGTAGTGAACAAGAGAACAAACCCCTGCTCCTAAGTCATTGCTTTGCAAAAAGAATATTGACCTACTTTCTCAGGAAGGGATGTTATGAGTCAACTTCAAATTGTGTCCTTTACTGAAGCCCCAGTTGTCCTATATCTAACAGTAAATCCTTTATATTTTAAATTTATCATGCCTTTTATATTTTTATTGTGCTAATGTAAGATTTTCTTTGTGTTTGAAGCTTTGATCACTTTAATAGTTTTTACAGGTCTTACTCTAGAAGAATGGACTCCAGTTTTTCCAGAAAGGAGAACAAATATCAGTTGAATTTAATAACTTGAGTTGTGTATGTAGAATCATTATTTTCTATACCTAACTGGGTCAAAAAAATAAGATTACCTTACTCATCAAAAAGATATTCCAACTCTGTTCCTTTTATTTCCCTGTGACTCTTTCCTTCTTCCCTGCTGAATGGCAATTTCTAGCACAGATCAGGAATGTTGTTACAATAAGAAAAGAAATATTGGGGTTTAATGCTTTGAATATAAAACAAATGTAACACATGATATTTTCTACAGAAATTATATATCAGGATGTACATTAGAATGCAAATTCATTTTATTGACCGATGTGCCTACTTCATACATGTGCTAATTTACTAGATCAGATATGTCAACACTGCTGCTTAAAAGCTTTGCCAGTGCAACATAGGAGGCATCCACTTTCAAAAGTAATACTGATGATTATTGGCCACGTAAATTTAACAATCAGGAACAGAAACTACCCTGAAATATATAGAAATTAGTTATCTAGGGAGAAAAAGAAAACAAATCTCAGGGCTGCCAAAGTCTACTTCACAGGTCCGAACCAGTGACAACATTGAGATCTTCTGGAAATTAAAGCTGTACTATATTGAGTCTGTTACAAAAATGTCAGGATACTTTTGACTTTTGGATAGTGTAGCTGCAGGAGGAAAGCGTGTTCCCAGCCCCGGGCAAATAAACCAGTGAAACCAATGAAGCCGAAATCAGTTGAGGGAAAAACTAAAGTGGGAGAAACGCGTTTATGGTTTACAAGAAGCCTGGCCCCATTCTTCCCTCTCCTGGCAGCTACTAGCTAAGCCGTTTCTCTCCTTCCCAGCGTGTGCTCACCTCTGCCCTCTTGGGAACACCTATTGATGTGGAAATAGACTAAGGAGAGAACCGCTTCTCTCCACCCCTTGTAAACACCTATTGATACAGAGAGGGACTAAGGCCAGGTGAGAGATTCTGGAAATATTGTACCCACAGATAGACTACCAACAAAAGTGAAAGAAAAACAACCCAGTCTTTTAGTTCCAAGGTGGGAAAGAAACTAGTTCTTCCCTGCTGTTTCTTCTCTGTGTGTCTCCTTCACTACTCGCACAGAACACTTCACTTCTGAAAATCCTGTTCACCAAACTTGGGAAGATTTCCCCCCACAACAAGCAACTCACTGTGACACCAGCAGTGTATCCGGGAATTTAACACTAACCACCTGGAGATAGCATCAGATTCTGCAGGTTATGGGCTCATTCTCACAAGACTGTCACCCACCCTGCCCCCTACCTCCTGCTTCAGACCCCAGTGACCACTTGGCCAGTAGAGATCAGAGATTCCAACTCCTCCAAACAGACTTACTCAGGTTGGGTTCATTTGCCAGAGCAGCTTACAGAGCTCAGGTGGAAACACTTACATTTACCAGTTTATTAAAGGATATAATAAAGAGTACAGAAGAAGAGCCAGATAAAGAGATGCATAGGATGAGTCTGGGAGGGTCTTGAGCATAGGAGATTCTGTCCCTGTTGAGTCGGGTTGCATCACCCTCCCCGTGTGCTGTGTTCACCGGCCTGGAAGCTCTTTGAATACTGTGCTATTGGAATTTTATGGAGGCTTCCTCAAGTAGGTATGTGCAATTATTAACTCCATTTCCAGCTGCCTGCCCTCTTTGGAGGATGGGGGTGGTCTGAAAATTCCAAGCTTCTAATTATGGTTTGGTCTCCCTGCCCAGAGTTGCCTCAATAGAACAAAAGATGCTTCTAGTTCCCTTATTGTTTAGGAATTTTCAAGGATTTCAGGAGCTCTGTGCCAGAATCTAGGGGCAGAGACCAATATATATGTTTTCTATTATATCACACAAAACTATTTCCAATATTAGAACTTACTCATTTTAACAAAATGCTACACTGTTGCCCTTTTTTCCAGTTTTTAATGAGTCAGAATTTGGCAAAATGAAAAGGGTTCACACTATTAGCTGCTTGACAGGGACAAGGAGTAAAGTCCTCCCAGTGTGGGATATATAGCGTTGATAAGGAAGTACCAGCCTAGCCAAACTTGACAAAAATGGTTAACATAACAGAAAGAAACGGTAAATGGAAAAACAATCAATGTGGTGATGAAAGCAATTTCTAATATGTGAGGATGATAAAGTAGCATATGTATTAACTTCAAATTTGGTATAAGGGTGACTTTGGAAGGGCTGTCCCCTGTTTTATCTATTATGGATTACCTTTTAATGTGAAGATGCTTTAAAGGTAAGTAAACATATGCTATACTATTTGGATAACATAATATTTATGTAGAGTTCTTTTAAAATGCTCTTATGGTCATAAGCTCATTTGAGAGCTCTGTGAGATCAGGCAGGGACAGTATTATTATTATTATCTTCTGAGATTCATGGTAGTAATTGACTGTCTCAGCAAGAATTGGAGCAGAGATTAAGATCTCACCTTCATTCCACCACAGTGCTGCCAAACAGACAACTAACTATGGCAAAAGAAAATGGAAAGACTAAAGGAGAAAATTTTGGCACTGTATATCACATATAAAGAGCTCATATCATTACTATCTGAAGAACATTTACACATTGAGGTAGGAACAGATTTACCCAACAGAAAAAAAGAAAAAAAAATGGGCAAAGACATGAACAAACAATTCACAAAGATATGTATTAAAATGGCTCTTAAGCATATGAAAAGATATTTAATCTCAAACATACATAGATAAATGTAAATAAAAACTATAATGAGATATTTCTAAGATACCACATTGGCAAATATTAAAACATAAACAATAATAAAATCACTAAATTTTTAGGAATTTTCTGCTAGAGTAATTGTAGGGAGACAATCATACATTTACTTTTTGACCCTAAGTTCTACTTGAATTTACCTTACAGATGTGCTTCCAACAGTATGGAAACATATATTTGCCAAAGATTATTCATTAAAGCATTGTTTGTTATTGCAAAATATTGGAAATTAAATGGTTATGCATAGAAGAGTGTTGAGTAAACTATAGTGTATAAAACAAAGTACAATGCAGCTATATAAAAGTATAAACTATGTATATTATATGTCTGTCAACTGATATGGAGAATTTTCAAGATATCTATTCTTAGAGGGGAAATGCAAAGGGCAAAAGAATGTACCTTTATATTTTCTGTAAGAAAGAAATAGAGATAAGGAAATATATGTATATATAGTACATAAAATGTGTATTATATGTGTAAAATAATATAGGCATAATTATGTAAGCATACAAATATACCTATTATGTATAAGATTTGTAAACATGGATGTATATATTGCTCATTTGTATACAAAGAAATGAACAGAAAGGGTAAACAGAAACAAACAGAAGGAATAAACTACAAATGAAAGAAAATGGTTTCCTGTAGGAGATGGGTGGAAATAGGTTGAAAATGATGGAGAGATTAAAATGACAGAGAATGGATACAAGAAAATGGTATTTAATATAAACACGTGAGATATAATTATCTGAGATGCATTTTTAAATCAGTCACTCTGGCTGCTTATTAGCTTATTAGCAGCTTTAAAGAGGGATTTCTTTATGGGAAGCTTTAAAACTAGAGGCTGAAGGAATTTTTTGGATTATCTGTGTATTTGATATCATCCTTGATAATCAAGAACTCTTCATCAGGAACAGGTAAAACTGTAAGTCAGAAGTCAGCTTCTATAAAGCTGGCCTTACATAGTTCAGATATTTCTAGAAACTTAACTTATCATATGATCTTATAGCCACTTTTATAAATTGATTATACTGTGGACCAATTTTTTAAATTTATTTATTTTTAGAACTACAATATGTTGTAGTTTTATGCTAGTGTTTGATTAAAAAAGGAGATTTTTTAATTAAAATATTGTTTCCTTCATCCAATCTCCAGAGGCATAGTAACATGCACAGTTAATTTTGAGGTAGAGTCCAAAAAAAGAAAAAAAAATCGAGCAATTGCTTCTAAATGTCTATTCTATTCTAGGTAAAAGAGAGAAAATTTCTGAGAGGAGAATGTTATTGAGAAGGATTTCTAAATAAAGATTGTCAGGCCAGTGGTAAAAATTACAGGAATCATTTTGAACTAGTTTTACTCCTTTTGGAATTTAAAAATCAAGCCGCTAAAATTAACAGTTGCAGTGTTAACAGTGAATGCCTGTTAAGTTGAAGCAGTTAATCACCAGGAACAGCATATTAAAACTGTTAATTTGTAGGTTTGAAACTTCTTTTTAATTAGAGCTGTAGGAAAAGTTTCTTCTTCAAAGTAAACCTGAGATCTCATGGCTTGCTATTCTGCCTGTGAAATTTCACAAAGAAAAGACCTTTTAGAGGGGAGGGTCCAGGTGAGATGGGGAAATTCGAGGGCTTGAGTTTAGTGCTTGTTTTTTCTTGGTCTTTAAAAATAGCCTATAACTGCATGGCATTGTTTTTGATTTCTGAAGGTGACTGAAGCTACTGGATTGGGTAAGCATTCTGCAGAATGTGTGTGGTTCTACCCACCTGACATAAATATTTAAAAAGAAAGCAAGAAGACGACATTTCTAGACACAATATCTAAAAAGCTACTATCACAGTGGCAGCTTTCTGGAAAAAAGGGGGTTGTTGATAACCATTTATTTGCTATCAGTAGGTTCCAGAGGCCAGCTTCTCTGACCAATACCTCTGTGATTGTAGTGTTACTGGAGGGAGGTTGGTAAAAATGCAGATTCTCTGGCCATTATGAGAATCGGATTCAGTCAGTTTGCAGTTAGCCAGGGATCTCTTTTTTCAGTGTGCATCCTAGGAATTGTTAATTCATGCACTTCAGAGATTGACTTTGAGATGGGCTTTCATTGACTCACATCCTCAACATTACTTTTAGCCTCTGATTTTGGTGAGCTCTCTGTGTAAATGAGGAGCAGCAAAAGTCAAAGGGCACTAGAGAAATGACATTCATCAATAAATGAAAATCACAAGTATTATGGAATTTATAAGTACCAATGAACATTATTATTGAAAACAGCAATAAGCAAAAGAAATGAAGCAATTTCTAATGTAGTAATGTTTATATCAACTAATTAAATAAAACACTTGTAGTGAAAATGGGCAACCAGAACCCAACCACAAACAAACCATCAACCAGGAACATTTACATCAGACTTTCTCATGCTGTTGAGTCCTAACAGCCTAATATGGACTTCATTCCCCAAAAGTTTCCCTATGTGCCTTTGTAACTCCTCCCCACCTTGTTCGTTTTTAAAATGTCTGTAGAATCTATAGTGATCTCTTCTTTCATTACTGTTTTAAAAATTTGTGTCTCTTTTATTCTCCATAGATTTAGTATAACTAGACATTTACTAATTTTATTGATCTTTTCTAAGAATCAACTTTTGAGGCCATGGATATTTTTTCCAATTGAATTATGTTTTCTATTTCTTTTATTTATTTCTTTTTTTGTATTTGAAATACAGTTATTTCTTAAGGTGGAAGTTTAGACCAATCATTTTTACATCATTCTTTTCTAATTTAAGTTATAAATGCTATAGATATCCCTCTGAACACTTCTTTAGTTACATTTCATAATTATGGAATGTTTTGTTTTGGGAAAATCAAATTTAGCCTTCATTTAGAGCTAATGCATCTCCACTTCCTCATGTGGGCTCCTGTGTCTCTACTTAATTCCCTATAAAGTCAGTGAGGTTTCTCCATTCTGGCTTGGGAGGAACTTAAGTGATTGCCGACTCTGTTTGCTCTGGGAATTGTTTTCCATTCAGCAACACTATTAAATGTCCTTTCCTCACAAATCATTGTTATCCAATAGAGTTAGGTTTTGCCCTCTGCTTGTACAGACTTGCATTCAGACAGAGCTTCAACGGGACCCCTATGCAGATTTCTGGACCTCTTTCCCTGCCTAGTCTATGCTTGGTGAATGAATAAAAACAGATAATAACTCTAATGGCTCACTGTAGACATTTGGTTGCTTATTAGCATAGCATGAAACTTACAGAGAAAAATAATATTTTGAATTAATTTGCCTCATGGGAAAAGAAATGGTACTTATTTCTAGAAGATCAAAAATATCTTTTCTACTTTACCAGAGCACACAGATTGAACTTAATAAAAGAGCAGCAAAAGAGAAAAAAATCCTTGTTATTCTAAAGCAGTTAATTTTGCCCCATTGTGTTAAATATTTATAAACAGTGCTGATCAGCATACTACCAGGCAGTGAAATACAGTATCAAACTATTATAAAAACCTCTAATATAGATTAAACATCTTTTCCTTATCTTAAGAATTTTATGCATACATTATCTTCAACAGATACTCAAACCTCATAAATAGATGCTACAGCCTGAACTCATTTTATTGTCCAAATTAGGAAGAATATGATTCCTGTATCTAAGGTTAAAGGTAAGAAAATAGATCTTTTTGCCAAAAACTTTTAAAGAACTTTTTAGATATGGAGTGATTTGCACATGCATGTAAACCATAAACTAAACATATGCCTTTTGAACTTACTGCTATAAACATCTTTCAATTGCCTGAAAAGCACATTTTACAAAACTTCACAAATTCTTCTATTCTGCTAAGAAGCAATAGAGATTTTTGATACACATTTGGTTGTTACCATTCATGCATCTTAGAGAACATTAACACGATAAAATGCATTGAACTCAAACAATGCTGTCCATAATTTGTATTTAATTTAATAAAATATTAGAAGCTATGTTGATTCTGATCATGATGAGGGTTATAATGAAGAAATGCAAAGGCTCCCGTTGGAATAACATATGAAGATTACTGCGTAAATCTCTAGCTACTGTATGTATCAAGTATGGATATATAATTAAAGTCCCATTACAATATCCTCAGAGGAGAGCAAGCTGGTCATAAAAAAACGAAGTGACCATTTACTTTTTCTCTTCAAGAGTCTGGCACTGCTGATGCTATCAAATCTGTAGAGTTTCATTCTTACATATATTTGAACTTGTCCTTCACCCCACAAAATGTCTCCCTTTCTCCACAGACTCTGTCTACTTAAATGCTAGGTAAAGCAAGAGCTCAGTATAGTCCTAAACATTTGCATAAACCCTGCCCATAGTATCACTCTGTGATACTTATTCGTGGCCTCAATGTCTTAGAGTGAAGAAATTTTCCAGTCCTTACATAGCAGAAAATCTAAATATTGCAAAACAGGAGATCGTAATTGACCTTAAAATTCATGCATCCCTAACACATTCTTTCTTCCTTTTATATCCTAGCTCTCTAGTCTACCAAGGCTAAGCAAGTTATGAACATATGAGACCATGTGACTTAACTCCAGATAGATCTAGATTCAAATCTCATGCACATGGTTAGTATTGTATAATATTTGGTAAGTTATATCAATGAAATCTTACTTTAGTTATTGATACTCTTATTTTCATAAGATTATGAAAATTAAAAGTAAGTCATACATACCTGGAACAAAATAGGAATTCATTACATGAATATAGTATTAAAGTAAGTTTTGGTAAACTGGATGGCTTTGGAGTTAGTCAAGTCCAAGCAGAACAGACAGAAAAAATAGTTTCCTGGAGAAGTTAAAATGTGTTCTAATCCTAAAGAGATTTTGGCACTGGGCAGTCAGTATCATGGATACTACCTGTAAGAAAGTGGTTTTCACATTTTCATTTGAGCTTTTACCTTTAGAGCTCCAGGATTATTCCTTACTGCTATCCTCTTTTTGAGAGTGGGCTATCTCTTCTTTTTAGAGGACTTGTCTCTATGGATTTATGGAATTACATTTCTCCCTAGAGATTTTAATTTTTATCAGTTTTTGTCTGGTTTATTAATTTTTTTCCTTCAATAGATTGACAAGATACTCCAAGGTACAGAACGTTCTTACACTAAGAAAGGTCATCCATGATGTCCCCATCTCTTTTTAGATAGAATAGCACTCATGCCAGGGAATAATTCAGATTCTTTCACACTACAAAATATTTCAAGTAGATGGAAAGTACACAAAGCCATGATGCTTTCAGTTGCCAATGGTATGGGTTCAGGCAGGATCGTTCCATCTTCTATGCCTTCTTCACCATTTCTCACATCTGCTCTACTCCTGGACTTCATGCTTTCTAGGACATAATTTCTGTTTGTGTGTCATTCCCTAAATACACATCTCTGTCGCAACTTCAAGATATTTTATCTTTTACAGCAATTTTATGAAACATAGAATTTGTTCTTGAAACTAAATTACCATTTTTACATCAGTTGCTTAGAGAATGTTTCTTGCAATATACCTCATTCCCACAAAATAAAATAGCAATTATTTAAGTGACCTCTGTGATAGCTTTTAGTTGTGAGCATATTTAAGGGGAAACAAAACCCAACAGAATTTCATAGATTGAGATAATTTGTATTCACTATAATTTGCCATATTATAAGGCTGACAAATAATTAATAATATTAGAACTAAGGGAAAATGTTATTTTAAGAGCTCACTTCCAGAATTTTTCTCAGGTAGAAAATTTGTCTCTTTTGAGACATACTTTAATGTGCTTATTTGGTATGAAGATGAGGCTATCTGGGTATATGCTTAAGGACTGAGATGAGACCAAAAAAAGTAGCTAGAAAAACATATCCCTGCCAATACACAAGTATGACGAGTATGATTTTGGATAAGCGGTTGTGGTCTAACAAGGTTGGGATGGTAGAAGATGAACCAAGTATCCTGGCAGGCTGGGATTCTGCATGGCGGGAGGAGTTGTGTGAAGCTTCTGAGGAAAGGAATGGCGAAGGAATTTTTAAGAATGTGAATTAGTGATATTAGTACCATTAATATGCTGCACACCCAGCAATGCAATGTCATTTCTGTTAGGTCAAAAACAATGCAGATGTTTCCCTCACTACAAGTCTTACTGTTACTCCTTTATGGATGGGAGAAACGTTGGGATCTAATGGAATGAAGAAACATGGAGACAGGCACAGGCGCGAGGGAATCGTAGACTGGGTGTGGGCACCTGAAGCACAGAAGCACCCTGAAGAAACAGAAACTCCCACCAGTCTAAAAATAAATGATAAATCTCCAGATATTGGAAGAAACACTAATTTTTTCACTTAAGAAATTTCAGTCACACTTAATCAAAATGTCCCAAACCAGAATGTCTTGGTTGAAATACAAAAAGTAACTAAGAATACCTTTGTCTGAGATGGTTGTAACATATAAATTTGACCTCTCTGACTATATTTGCAGAAGTCCCCCCTTATGTGTGGTTTTGCTTTCCATGTCTCACTTACCTGCGGTCAGGAAGCAGATGATCCTCTTTCTTCATGTCAGAAGGCCTAACCTGACGTCACAAAGCCCACATCATCCACCTCACTTCCTCTCTTCACGTGGACGTTTGCATCAGTATGAGAAGGGTGAGTTTATAAGATATTTTGAGAGAGAGAGAAACCAAATTCACATAACTTTTATTATGGTATTTGTTGTAATTGTTCTATTTTATTATTAGCGGTTGATCTCTTACTGTGCCTTATTTATTTATTTATTTATTTATTTATTTATTTATTTATTTATTTATTTATTTATTTTTTGCAAGAGCATTTATTGGGTAGCCAGCATGCTGGGGTCTCACATGCGCAGGTGGAGACCTGTGCCTAATTTATTAATTAAACTTTATCATATGTATTGTAGGTGCATAGGAAAAAACATAGTATATATAGAGTTCAGTACTCTATGTGGTTTCAGGCATCCACTGGGGGGTCTTGGAACCTATGACCGCTGGATAAGAGGGGACTACTGTAATAAAGCCTCCCATTAATTAATTTTAAGCCTTGTGGTGAAAAGTAACTGTGCAATTGTGTTATTAGGCCATGCTGTGGACACTTGAATACTGTGGACCTGAAATAACTGCATTCTACAAGTCAAATGAACATCCAGGCACTGTATTTACAGATATAGTTGTCTTTGTATTAATAAGTAAATGTAGGTAACTTTGCTAACGGTAGTGACATATACTCTGTATCCATAAAGACTGTCCTTCATCTTAGAGACACAGTTATTAACAAGGACTGTCTGGTCTGCAACCACCTTTCAGAAACTCCGTACCTCTACATCTCAGCTTTCCCCTAAGATTCATATTTTTATTTGCAGCTTTTAACTCAACACCCCTAAAATTGAAATCAGGTCTCCGCCTTGGTTCCCTCAAGTTCCCAGGTTTCTAATCATGCTGATAACACCACCATCTACTCCTTTACTAAATCACTGGACACCCTCTCTATTTCCCTCGCCACCCCTGTCATCTCCATCACAGGTGGTTCTGGAGTCCGAAAGCATTTTTTTGTCCTCTCCTTTGTCACTACATCAGTTCACAATTTCTAACTTCACCTCACCTCCAGTCTCTCCAATTCACCCTCTTCATGATCATGTAGAACATAAATCGATTATGTTACTCTCCTCAAATATATCTTTGAAATGATTGTCTTTTCACTATAACAATAAGAAACACTTTTAAAGAGTCTATCTTTAGTAATGTTTACCAGTCGAATTTTTTTATTAAGGTATTATTGATATACACTCTTATGTTTTACAAGAAAAATAATGTGGTTATTACATTCACCCTTATTATCGAGTCCCCCCATACCCCGTTGCAGTCACTGTCCATCAGTGCAGTAAGATGCCACAGAGTCCCTATTTGTCTTCTCTGAGCTACACTGATTTCCCTGTGACCCACTACACACCATGTGCACTAATCATGATACCCCACAATCCCCTTCTCCCTCCCTACCTACATGCCTTCCCCTCCCCCTCCCTTTTGGTAACCACTAGTCCCTTCTTGGAGTCTCTGAGTCTGCTGCTATTTTGTTCCTTCAGTTTTGCTTTGTTGTTATACTCCACAAATGAGGGAAATCATTTTGTACCTGTCTTTCTCTGCCTGGCTTATTTAACTGAGCATAATACCCTTCAGCTCCATCCATGTTGTTGCAAATGGTAGTTCTTTTTCATGGCTGAATAGTATTCCATTGTGTATATGTACCACATCTTCTTTATCCATTCATCTACTGACACCAGTTAGGATGGCCAACATCGAAAAGACTAGGAACAACAAATGCTGGCAAGGATGCGGAGAAAGGGGAACCCTCCTACACTGCTGGTGGGAATGTAAATTAGTTCAGCCATTGTGGAAAGCAGTATGGAGGTTCCTCAAAAAACTAAAAATAGAAATACCAGCTTATCTTTTTAACCTTCTCATATAATACTTCCCCAAACATCCTTTACACTTTAAACATATAAAATTTCTCTCACCCCAAGCACAACATATTTATTTTTACTTCTATATTATACCTTGACATTCTTCTCTCCCTCTACTGTTGGAATCACTACTTATTCTTTAACACTGAGTTAAAATGTCACTACCCCTCTAAAAGAAGGTATACATTCCATTAGCAATAAAAAAATAGCTGCCACTGATTAATATATTAAATTTAGAATCAATTAGAATCTACAAATCTCCCAAATGACAATTGACATTAAATAGATTTAGTTGTTTGACACCAATTCATGGCACATTAAAGAGTGAAATGACTGGCTAGAAAAACTCCATGTATTTCAAAGGATGACACCTCACTACAGCAAGGACATGAACACTTATGTCAGGCAGTTAGTATCCTTTAATTTATATGAGCAAAAGTTGAGAAGAAGATTAATGACTTCACTCTGGAAGTGCATGCTTAAAAGAAAGGATTTTTAAACAGCTTTGCAGGGTCAGCAGAGCACTGTAGGCTAAGGATATGCCTGAGGAAGATTGAGGTCATGTAGCCAGTTGCACTAGGGAATATTTGCATTTGGCTAAAGACTTACCTTCAATAGAAAACATCCCACATGAAGAAGATTCAAGCAATAAAAGGAAATCTTAGTATGCCCCACAAAGACTAAAAGACTAGACAGGAATTTTCCATCAAGAAAGTGAAAGAAAACCAGCTGACCAAAAACATTGCTGCAGAGAGTAGATACACAGCAGGGACATTGGTGAAAAGGGAGGCCTGAGCCAACGAAACAAAGGGCAGCATAAGCTTAACTCTGAAACAAATTAGGTATTTCTGCCAAGAAGTAGTTTTTAAAAAAAGAAAAAAATTTTTTTCTAGATAGACAAGATATATAGAGAGAATAGCTTTTCTAAGTTTTAAGGGAGCCAAACTTTGAACAGATGAGGTGGGTGGAGGAGATCATAGCCCAACAAAAGATCAGAGCGAGAAGAAAATTTATACTTAACTTCTTCCAAACCCATTATTTTGCAAATGAGAAAAACTGATGCCCAGAGACTGTAAGATCTTGCTCTGGTTCACACTCCAGTGCCCCATGAGGATTGATACCTTTATACCTAAAGAATGCAATGTACTTCTGGAACACTTCCCTCCATGATCATGAGTGGACCACTTCTTGTATGAATATTATTTTTGTCTCTTAAGGTATAGCTATCTTAATGAGGTGTAGAAAATTTGAGAATTAAGCCACAAAATTGTTTTCTGGATTAAAATGTCCTCTTTCTTGACCTTCACTAATGTATCTAGCTGTCTGAGGACACTCCTTAGGGGTGAAATTTAAGGTTAATATTTATCCTATGAGTAGGGACAAGAGAGAGTGGAGAGTCAGTGTTGTAAGAAATTTTCTTTTTTCTTTCTTATAGCTGATATCAATAAAGAAAAATTTATATGCCTCAAAACATGTTATACTTGCAAGTCAGAGGATTCATGTATCATTGCTTATTTCTTTTTGCTCTCTTAAAGAGAGCAAAGTTTTTTTTTCCTTTTTTAATGTATCAGTGTTTTCTGTGTTTTATGGATCAGTAAAAGAGTTTAGGTCTATAGCTGGGCATAAGCTTAAAAGAGAAGCTGCATTGCTACTACCTTATAAAGTATTAGATAATAAAAAAAGGTAATTAAAATATAAATCTCTATAATCTGGAGGGTTAATCAATTATTCCATCACTAATTAGATACATTAAGAGTTTAAGTCTCTGTCCTTTGTGTTAACAGATTTACCATTTTATGACTCGAAGGAATGTATGGAAGACATATTTATTAATATTAAAACTGACACCAATCATGAAGGAATAAAAATTACAACAGTTCTAGAGTTAATATCTAAGATGATCTTGTCAGGTTGAAACACAGGGCCAAGTATTTAGCAAGATGAAATTGAAAAGGAATGAATATAAAATATTGCATTTAGATTTTTTAAAAAATCAAACAGGTGGAGTTTCAAAGAAACTAAGTTTTCACTTTGAAAGTTTTGAAACACTTTATTTTTTAACTGAACTTTTAAGTGTTGGTTTCCATATTAATTGCCTTATGGTTAAGGATGTGCTTTATGGGTAATCTTTGCTTTGAAATTATACTCTTGTATAAAAATATGTTGAAGTTAAGGATGTCTTTATCTGCTTGATTTATCAGTGCCTAGTGAGATTGCAATGCTCGCAATTTTTTTTTTAAATTTTTTCATTTTGGTATCATTGATATACAATTACATAAGCAACATTGTGGCTACTAAATTCCCTCCATTATCAAGTCCCTTCCACCTACATTATGTGTGCTAATTGTAATGCCCCTTATTCCCGTTATCCCTCCCTTCCTATGACAACCCCTGCCACCCCCACTAGGTCCCTTTCCCTTTGGCAACTGTTAGTCCATTCTTGGGTTCTGTGAGTCTGCTGCTGTTTCGTTCCTTCAGTTTTTGCTTTGTTCTTATACTCCACAGATGAGTGAAATCATTTGGTACTTGTCTTTCTCTGCCTGGCTTATTTTACTGAGCATAATTCCCTCTAGCTCCATCCATCTTGTTGCAAATGGTAGGATTTGTTTTCTTCTTATGGCTGAATAATATTCCATTGTGTATATGTACCACATTTTCTTTATCCATTCATCTACTGATGAACACTTAGGTTGCTTCCATTTCTTGGCTATTGTAAATAGTGCTGTGATAAACATAGGGGTGCATATGTCTTTTTGAAACTGGGATCCTACATTCTTAGGGTAAATTACTAGGAGTGGAATTCCTGGGTCAAATGGTATTTTTATTTTTAGTTTTTTGAGGAACCTCCATACTGATTTCCACAATGGTTGAACTAGTTTACATTTCCACCAGCAATGCTTGCAATTGTGATTAATTTTTTTGACTGTGCCGTTTACATAACATTTCATAATCTTCTTTTGATTATTATGCCAGATATGTATTTATCTATGTTAATACTTTTGTCTTAATTTTTAATTTTGTCTATTATTCTAGTGATATAATAGTGTTCTTCTAAGAAGTTTTTGTTTGCTACATCTTTGCCCCTTTCTTTATTTGGGACATTTCAGTGTAGTTTTCTTTGTGATGTGTCTCTTAAAAATAGACAGTAGCTAGATAAGTTTTTTTCTAT